AGTCAATCTTTTCTAGAAAGTGGCATTTCTGACAGATGTTAAAATATTAAAAAATTCTCACCCAGCCAGCACACCGTTTTTCCTCTATTTTCAGTCCTTCTTTATTCTCTTCTTTGGAGCTGTCCCAGCTGTGGGCAGCACACAATGTCTGTCTTTTCCTCACTGCCAAGTTGAGAGCTTTCCCCGGTCCTAACGAGTTGGCAATCTCCTTGTGAATGACGAGGCATTCCTCTCTTCTTCACCATTCCTCCAGAATGATTTAGATCCGTTTGGATCCTCTGGCAAAGGGAATTTGGCAAACTTCCATAGAGCTTATGGAAGACTCGTCATTCCGCAGCAACATCAGCTCTGCCTCCTCTCTGGAAATGGCCTTTTAAACCTTCCCAAATTGATGGGCAGCAACAATTGCTTTTCTAAAATCACTGCCGATGCTTTACTCTTTGACATTGTGTTAACACAAACTTCAGTGCCGGAGACCAGGAAACTCCTACTACAACTTTTATAGATGTATTCCAACTTGCTGATGATCAATTGATCAAGGGCATTTGATTAGCCGTATTTGGCTGCTACTTCACCTCTTTATACTATGGAAGCAGTGAGAAATTTCCTAATGGTGAGAACAAGCAACCAGCGGAATGGCTTGCCTTCAGAAGTTGTGATGCTCCATCACTGGAGGCTTTTCAAAACAGACGAGAGAGAGAGCCAGTTGTCTGAAATAGTATAGGGTCTCCTGCTTGAGGAAAGGGCTTGGATTAGAAGACCTGCAAGGTCACTTCCATTTCTGTTATTCTCTTCTGTTCTGTTGTGATGATATTTATGACACCCTGACAAGTAAAACCATAGAAATCAAAGAGGGTGTAGTTTCTTTTTCACTGGACTGTATTTGAAAACAACCCTTTGCACTGCTAAGAATTTGTGATTGACCCAGTCAACAAGTGAATTTCATCATTGAATGGATATATTCCAACTTGATATGGGTAGTTTTCTACATGGATCCTTTCACATCAAGTGGTCTGATTCAAAAAAGTGCCCCGCTCGACCATTATGGATTTCGATGAAATTTTGTGTGAACATGCACACTTGTCCCGAATGAACATTGAACAGTGTTATGTGTGCCGATGCAATACTTGCGGAAATACAGTCATTTGTTTGACCCCATACCGCAGCCTTCTACAGTATGACTCTGAGGTTCCAGCAACTTTGAGACATAATGTCTCTGGCGATATTTTGTTGAGAGAAACAAAACTTGGCCATCTTGTACAATTTTTTGTGCTTTATTAAACAAAATAATAAAAATATTCTCATGCGCGATCTCCATCCAGGTAATTTGGAGCAAAGTTGGCTAAAATATTGTGGCTCAAAAAAAGGTTAAATTTTTTATATCTTTTTATATCTCTGGAAGGAATGCTACGAGAAATCTGAAACTTTGTGTGTAATAACCTAACAACACAAAGGTTTTTGAATATAAAATTTCATTCTTCTATTGCTTTCCAATAGTTTACAAATTGAGTGTAAAGTTGACTTTTTTTGTAAAAATGCCAAAAATAGGGTATTTTCAGCCCGCTTTTACAAAAAAAGACCTGGAAACTCTGTTAAATCATTCTCATTAGAAAGATTACCAGGTTTCTCTTCACCTGGCAGGGCTGCAGAAGGGGACCCCTCCCTCCAGGTGAGGATTCCCTTTGACACCCCGAGCTTTGTCATCCTGTGTTCCGGCAACCTTGCTATCATGATTTAGGCAAGCCCTATTCAATCCTTTTCTGAGTGCCTGACTAGCCGGAGAAGCCCAGACAGGGCAACGAGGCTCAAATGGTTGCTGAGGCTTCCCCTTTAAAGAAAGTCTTCTCTTTAAGGAAAAACTTCCCCTTTAAGGAAGAGAAAGGAAAGCAGCTGTTAACAGNATTTTGGCCAATCTCGCCAGGGGTAAATGCCACCTATAAAACATTTTGTAAATGTTTTCCTTATAGGATGCCGACATTGTCAATTTATAATTTTTCCCCATACTTTTTCCCAGTGCTCCAATATTGTACCTAAATTTTTTAGCCCAAATCATCATTGTTTCCTTCACGGTTTCCTCCTCCATTTTGAAATTTGACAATTATATGTTATTGTAATCATTTTTTCTTCTGTTCCTGTTATTATATTGTCCAATTCTTGTTGTTCGTTTTGAAATCTGTACTGTTCTAAGTCCTTTTTGTATCTTGTTTGAATTTGTAGGTACGGCCACCAGCCTAATTCAGTTTCCTGTAATTTTAACTCTTGATTTGTTTTAAGTTTTTCTTGCCCGCCCAATAACTCCTTATATGTCAATATCCTATTCAAATCTATTAGATTGGGGTAGATAATTGCTTCTATGGTTGATATCCATCTGGGAATTTTTGTGTAAACGTTTCTTTTTATTTTCATCCATATTTCTAGTAAGGTCCCTCTTACCTTATGCCTCTGGAAATATTTATGGGCTTTACTCTTTCCCTCCCAGATAAAAGCATGCCAACCCAGCTGTAAATCATGTCCCACCCATATCACCTACAAAAAAAGCCAATATTTTTTTATTTTGAAGTACTATCCATTCTTTGAGCCAAGTTACCACTGTTGTCTGATAGTAAAGCTCCCAATCTGGGAGGCCAAATCCTCCTTTAATTCTAGAATCCTGTAATAATTTTAATTTTATCCTAGCTTTTTTCCCCAGCCAAATAAAATTTAAAATTATTTTATGTAGTTCCACGGAAATCTTTTTCGATAATTACCGGTACAGTTTGGAATAGAAATAAATTTTTTGGTAGGATACTCATTTTTATGGTCGCAATTCTTCCAATCAGCAATAATTGTAATTTAGCCCAATTTTCCAAGTCCTCTCGTATTTGTTGTAATAATTGTCTTCTTTTATGGTAGAACATTTAGCCGTTAGCCAGATTCCAAGATATTTTACATTTTAACTATTTGCATTTCCAATACTCCCTCTAATTCCTCATTTTGCCTTGGTGTAAGATTTTTAGTAATTATCTTTGTTTTATTTTTATTTATTTTTAAGCCTGAAACTTTACCAAATTCCTCTACTTTTTGAATTAATATTTTCCACGTTTCAAGGGAATTTTTTTTAATTTTTAACCCTTTTATTTCCTCTTTTCCCCTAATCCGTGTTAGTAAAACCTCCAATGAGAGGATGAATAGAAGAGGGGATAGTGGGCATCCTTGTCTGACCCCCTTTATTTATATAAAGAGCCAAGGTGGCGCAGTGGTTAAATGCAGCACTGCAGGCTACTGCTAGATCAGCAGTTCAGTGGTTCAAATCTCACCGGCTCAGGGTTGANGGCCTGGGTGGGGGGGAATGAGCAAAAAATGGTCCATTCTTTGCTCACATTTGCCCACCCCATCCCCCAGAGCACTCTAGAAGCCTCCTAAAGGCTATGCATGCCTTTTTTGCAAAGAGGGCAGGGTTTCAGGAGGCCAAAAATGCTGTATTCAGTGTTTAAGATGCACCCAGATTTTTACCCTCTTTTTTGAGGGAAAAAGGTCTTATACTCTGAAAAATACGGTATTCAGTTTGACTAAATAAAATATGCCTGATTTTTCTTAGGTGAATGTATAATAGTATTAGATGGGAAGAAGAGAAGAAAAAATTGCAACATATTAGTTTGATAAGGGCTATCTGGCCATCACTAGCAGAAGTTGGTGGATATTTATTGTTGTAGAAATTGGGAAATTGAGAGTGTTCTTTGCATTTTTATCACGGTGGATGATAGAAATACCACATGCAGAGTCTCAGCCTTTTTCTCCCTGTGTGCCCCTGAGATTTTCAGCCCCGGAATTGCCCAGCCAGCATCTCTTGGGGATAGGAGATAAAGGTACAGATCGTGGCTCCACTTATAAAGAGAAAGCAAGAGGACAAGACAAAGAGTTCAAAGCTCAACTTTTCCTAACAGTTCCAGAAATTCAGTATATCAAGCATTTTTTCAGATTGTGTCAAAGCATACAAAGGGCAACAAAATGATGAAGGGGCTGGAAGCTAAAACAAACGAAGAACCGTTACAAGAATTGGGTATGTCTAGTCTAATGAAAAGAAGGACTAGGGGTGACATGATAGCAGCGTTCCAATATTTGAGGGGTTGCCACAAAGAAGAGGGGTTTTTCTTATTTTCAAAGCACCAGAAGGCAAGACAAGGCACAATGGATGGAAACAAATGGAGACAAGCAACTTGGAATTAAGGAGAAACGTCCTAACAGTGTGAACAATAAATCAGCGGAACAGCTTGGCTTGAGAGGTTGTGGGTGCTTCATCACTTTTCAAAAAGAGACTGGACAGTTGTTTGTCTGAAATGTTACCAGGTCTTCTGCTTNGAATGATTTAACAGAGTTTCCAGAAGGTCTTTTTTTGTAAAAGCGGGCTGAAAATACTCTATTTTTGGTGTTTTTACAAAAAAACATCAAATTTACACTCAATTTGTAATCTATTGGAAAGAAGTAGGAGAATGAAATTTTATATTTGAAAACCTTGTGTTGCTAAGATAGTACAAAGAAAGTTTCACTTTTCTCATACATTTCCTTCCAGAAATATAAAAAGCCAAACTTTAACCTTTTTTCAAGCTGTAATATTTTCGTCCAACTTTGCTCCAAATTATCTAGATGGATATTATGTCTCAAAGTTACTGGAACCTCAGAGTCATACTGTAGAAGGCTGCAGTATGAACTCAAAACAAATGACTGTAAATCCACAAGTATTGCATCGGCACAGGTAACATTTTACCAATGTTCATTGGGGATATGTGTGCATGTTCACAGAAAAATTTCATCAAAATCCGTGATGGTCGAGCAGGGACCCCACCAGACCACTTGACATGGAACAACCTATGTGTCAAATGCGTCATGATAAATGTAAGAGCTTATCTGAGCATTGTGTCATGTTTGCTTTTTCAATGTAACGTAAACTTTTTTCATTTTTTCTCATCTTCTGCAACTATTCTATGCACAATTAAAGATACTCTTTTATTTTAATCTTATAGGCAAAGAGGATGGCACTCTGAACAGTTGAGGATAACAAGCAACATTGAATAGCAAAGCAATATTTTCCATTTCCTTCTGAGAGCCACAAAATTCTTCACCTTCCTCAGCAGGTGAGAGAGAAAAAAGAGAAAATCAAGAGGAGATTTCTAGCTGGGAAAAGCAAGAGTATGCGAAACTCAAGCATACATTACATGAAAAGTCAAGGGAGATTATTTTTCCATTGAGCAAAAGAGGGACATATCTGGACGTTACTGTGGAGGAAAAGATCAATTGGAAAGGCCTTACTCTGGGAGGTAGAAAACAACTTGAATCAAAGCACCACTAAACAAGGGATCATTCATCCCTCAGGAATATGAGTTACAGGAAATCTCCATAGATGTACCTGTAGTGGGAAAGATACAACTTGCAAATCACAACTGATTATGCATGACAGGATCCATACTGGAGAAAAGCCATACAAATTCTCTGAATGTGGCCAAACTTTTGGTCAGAACAAATCCATTTTGTTTCATGGAAGGACCCACGCAGGAGAGAACCTATACAACGGCTCCCAATGCAGTAAAAGCTTTAGCATACATGGCAATGTGATACACCAGAGGATTCACACAGGAGAGCAACCCTTTGAATGTCCTGACTGTGGGAAAAGTTTCAGTTGGAATTCTCATCTTGTTGCACACCACAGAACTCACACAGGTGAGAAACCGTTTGAGTGTCCTGATTGTGGGAGAAGTTTCAGCTGGAATTCCAGCCTGGTGCTACACCAGAGAACTCACACAGGCGAGAAACTGTTTGAATGTCCTGATTGTGGAAAATATTTCAGTCAGAATTCTAACCTGGTGAAACACCAGAGGACTCACACAGGAGAGAAACCCTTTGAATGTCCAGATTGTGGTAAAAGTTTCACTAAGAATTACAGACTTGTGAGACATCAGAGGACTCACACAGGAGAAAAACCTTTTGAATGTCCGGCTTGTGGTAAAAGTTTCAGTCACAATTCCAGCCTGGTGGAACACCAGAGAACACACACAGGAGAGAAACCTTTTGAATGTCCTGATTGTGGAAACAGTTTCAGTAAAAATTCCAACCTTATTAACCACCAGAGGATTCATACAGGAGATAAACCCTTTAAATGTCCTGATTGTGGGAAAAGGTTCAGTCAGAATTCCANCCCGGTTAGGATTTCTTAAGCAAATCCACTGCGCTTTCAACATGAAGCCAAAATTGGGACTTTTTTAAAACGCCGCCAGGACACAGGACAAATTGTTAGAAATCATGACTGTCCGCCAAAATCGGAACGTCTGGTCACCTTAATGATAAAGCAACCCCCATCCTTTCCCAACCTATGAAATCGGATCTGCTATTGTTGAGGCCAAACACATGTGGCCTAACAAAGAAAGAGAAACCTGATGCAGATTCCTAGCCTTACTCCTTAAGTGGTTGTAAAAGCCTTCCACTTTTGTAAAAGTGGAAAGATCTCCATGGAAATGAAACTTGAATGAGAAAGAGGTCAGCTAGCCCAGACCCAACCTCCCAAATCCTTTGAACTTTAACGATAAGTTGTCCTGACAACGAGGCGCAATAAAGACGCCCCAGCCATCCCAACATCAGCTTACCTTGTGTGTGCAAAACCTTCGGGCAGCCAAGGGGCCAGAAGTGACGCTAAAGAACGTGGTGCATAAATTCAATAATAAATAAGCGATTGTTGGAATTTGGCCGTTCATACAAACAATACGGACTTCAGCATGGGAACCATATAAGATACCCATTTTGGGCTTGGGAACCTAGAATAAGCTGCCCAATTGTCGGCTTGGGGACCAGAAGATACCATACAAGGCTTTGGAACCTCGAGGAAGAAACCAAACTACACGCTTGGGATCCTGAGCGAAGAAACCCACCTGTGGCTGGTATTGCATGGCTATCAGGCATGCCCCTTATGGTGATGGGGTTGTTGCTTCAAGTGCCTGAACTGGTAATGATAATGTCACCATGGATCAATGCAATACAATAGTAGTAATGATGTCTATATAGAACAAACAAGATGAAACAATAATAGAATGCATGTCACGTTGCCATAGCAACGTCCTCAACTTTGTCCCTATTTTTAGGGCTTTATATGTCAGTGATGAAAAACCAACCCTACTTTTTTAGGGGGGTTGAAACATGCTCTTTCNCCTTGGGGTACTCCACTGCATACCTTCCTCCATGTAGATGCCGTCCATTGAGGACTACACATTGAATGCGGTTGGTCAGACAGTTATGAATCCACCTGTGGTATTCCACAAAGGATTGGTCATATTTTGGACATCTTGCTCCCTAATAACATTGATTGTGACTGGTCTTGAGAAAGACGGAAAGAGACCGAAATTTCTAGAAATCGATGAACTCTTTAAACCTTTTCATATTGATTTTTATGTCCAAGACAATTGCCAAGATGCACCAGCTACTGCATACACATAAACTTCATACACTCAAGATTTGGGAGTGTGCTGGCTCCCAAACAATGGAGTGTATTTCCTAGAATACATTGAATATTGTTCTGCATTTTACAACAGTAGTAATATGGAAGCTTTTTCATTATTGAGCCAAGTATTATCATTGAGCCAAGAAATTTCTGGCTGTCTTAAAATATTTGAAACACTGGATTTTGTTTATAAGAAAGTTATATCTCTGTTATGAGAAAACAACATATCTTAGGAAACATGGCAGTTAGCTTATTTTAGAGGGGAGGGGAAGTTATTAACTGATAGTGAGTATTGCTAATAGTTATGAATATCATGTTATATTGGACAATCCATATCACTCAGAGGAATTAATTGCTTTAATTCTCTAATTGATTTATAATCAGAGTCTCCTGCAGAGGACATAACTGCATTCCCCCATCCCCCAAATTGAGAATTCCCAAGTCCATTGGATTCCAGATGAAGCATCTGGCAAATGTTCCTTGCAATGAGAAAGAAAGGACATTGCAGAAATCCATGAAATATAAGGGTATTGGGCTTGTTTGACTTATTTTCAAAAGAGTTTCAAATCAAAAAGATGTATGCATAAGGTAAGGAGTAATTGTGCATTTTAGAAAACATATATGTTTGCTGTACAAGCATTTATTTGGATTGCAGTATTTTCTTAGTGTGGTGAATCCTGAACAATTCAGCTTTTGTATTTACAATGATGTGAACTCAGAAAACAAACAGTAATTATAAATGGGATAAGAAAATATTAAACTTTATATTCCAAATAGCAAATGTGAAACATACACTTAATTGAAAATAATAAATAGTATTGACTTGAATTGTCTATCACTGGGAATTAAGAATCCTAGAACTTCTCTTTGACAGTTAAACTCATGGTTTCTTTGCAGAGTGTATAAGATTGATGTATATCATTCAAATGGCTTTTGCTTAAATAAACATATGTATTTTATATTTTTGTCTAAAACAATTTATTACAGCAAACATTAGTTTGTTTAAAAAACAAATATTTTTTTAAATGTTGTTATGAACTATGAAATCTGGATTTTCTCTGCTACATCTACTAGTAAGGCAACACTAATTCTCTTGGTTTCTGTGAAGCACTAATGCAATTTTACCTCTTGGTACATTTATTGGAGTTTGGTATAAGAAAACACATTTCTTTACCCAATAGCATATGTATTAATATAATTATTATTAAATTATAAGCCTTTACCTGATGTAAAAGAGGATGTTCAAGATTTTATTGATAGTGTGTGTGTCTCTCTGTGTGTGTTAACATACTACCTAAACATTATAGCTTGGTTTTCTTCCGATACACTTGTTAGGAGACAGTTTTTCACCATAACAAAGGGGCATACATTTATTCCTCTGCTTGGAACATAAAAAGATTGTATCCAAGAATAAATCATACCCTTAATGTTGTGTGAAATTGTCCACAAAAATAAAATAAGGCTTACCATTTACAGAATATACAGGCAATCTGTTTTAGACAAACTTCTCTATTTAATCTTAGACTTGTGTGGCATGCTAAGAGTTGGGTTTTTAAATGACCAAAGACAAAAAGAGTCAAAGCAAAGAATGGCAGCCTTCCAAGTAGTAATTTTGGGTCATTATTCAATTTTAATCAATTTGCACTCAATTTATGCAATTTATTTGGTTAATTTAATTCTGCAAGTCCAGTAGCAGGAACAGGCAAAACTGAAAATTTGAAATCAGCAGTAATGCAGTGATGGCAATAAGAAAAGTTCTAAGAAGCAGGATAACAGAAAAGGTTTAAGTTGATTACAAAGCTGAAATTAGTATATTCATCTGAGTAAGTGCCCTTACATTAGTCTGAAGTTTAAAAATATGTTTTTACTTATTTTACTTAAAGCAATTTAACCTTACCAAGAATTTACATTGAAAGAAATACATAGCTGATGGATAAAAATGAATGGTGAGCAATTTGTCAAAACATATTGGAAGTAACTGCATCACCTTTAAGCATCAATAGTGCTATTAATTTTCAAGATCTCATCTCAAACAATAACTGTCTTTGTTTCTCTGGCACAGAAAAGGGATACAGCCCTTCTCTGTGATTCACTAGTGGCTCTGCTGTCACTCAGCCATGCAGCCACGCAGGTATGCAGTACAGGTAATCCCCGGGTTGAGAGTTCCCTTAGTGAGTGTTCGAAGTTACATGATGTGCCCCCAAGCATTTGCGAACAAGTCCTAAAACTATGAATCTTGCAGCACCACAGGAGTTGTTCACTCTTACAAACAACTGCCAAGACGGAGGTTCTGAGAGATCCACCTCTCCAATGTTCCATTCGGGCCTCCAGAAGCCTCTCCCGGCACATTGAAATGGAACTTCTGAGGGGCAGACTATTTTTTAAAATATTGCAATTAGTGACATTTGCAGACATATTAACTCTTTGTATATACATTCCCGCCACATGTCTGACAGTTAGGCATTGGAATATAACACCAACTATATTTTAAAGTGGTATTTGCATATTTTTTTTACAGAATCTCATTGACTAGAATGTAATTATAGCATGTTCACTGTGAGAAGGAAGTTAATGAAATATTGTGGACAGAATGTTGAATTAGACTGAAAGGTCTAATTTAAGAATGCATTTTTTTTACAGTAAAGTGAAAAGTAAGTCACATCAAAAGTCATTAGACAGATAATTATTAACTGTGATAAAAAAAATTTTTTATTTACTACAAAGAAATTAGTCCAAATGTTACTTGGTAAAATAACTATGTCTTTATTTTCACAGAATGGCTTCCATATATAAGCTAACCAAACAAAGCAAACCTGCATTTTTATTCTCTACTACTTAACATGAAACATTATTGATTCTGGAGATATAATTTCCTTACATAGAGTTGACTTCCAATATATAATAGATTATATAGATTATTTCAATTGCTACAAAAAGGTTTATAACTAATAATACTAAATAAAACAAAAAGAATCCTATAGTTATTCTATTTTTATTTATTTTATGTATTTGTTTTGTCAAGTGTGTATAAAATAATAGATATAAATTATACAAGATTATGAATACATGAATATATGAAATGGATACGAATAAATGGGGTTGTTAGGACAGGGAGGGTAGGCACATTGGTGCACTTATGGCTAAAGTGACCAGATTTTGACATTGGTAAAGCGGGACAACATTGACAGGGGGAGGGGGTTCTTGATTAACAATTTGGTCTATATGGTCTGGTCACCTTGCCCTTGGGGGGGAGGCGGTTCACTTGGTCATCATCTGGGACCGCCGCTTGCACCGCTGCACCAGCCAGTGCTTGATCATGATGTTCCAGGGGATCTGCGGGGGAGGAGGAAGAAAGAGAGAGGGGTCAGAGGTGTCCCCCGCCACTGCCACCTCGTCGTCGTCCTTGGGCTTTTCATCCTGCGCTGGCAGCGGCTCGACCTCCTGGGCGGCCCCTATGCTCCGACCAGTGTCCCCAGCCGTGCTTCTCTAATGTCACCGATGCGCCGCGGACAGACCCGGAAGTGGCACCCATTGCCCGGCAACAGCGGAGTCTTAGCCCCCACCTCCTGGGGGATTCCCCAGCCACAGAGCCCTCTCCCCGAAGAAGAGGAAGGGGCCTGGGTGACCCCTGACAGGAGGATGCTTGATGTTGGGGGACCCCCCCATAGATTCCCCTCCCCCTGAAAGAACTCCATATCCCCCCAGGAAGGAGGGTGAGGGGCGCAT